GTGGAGGAGCCAGCGCGCAGAGCCGGCATGGGCCGCGGGCGCGGCGCGGGGGGCCGCCGCTGGGCCGGCCCGGGCGTGCTGCTGGCGCTGGCGGCCGCGCTCCTGGCCGCGGGCTCGGCCAGCGAGTACGACTACGTGAGCTTCCAGTCGGACGTCGGCTCGTACCCGAGCGGCCGCTTCTACGCCAAGCCGCCGCAGTGCGTGGACATCCCCGCGGACCTGCGGCTGTGCCACAACGTGGGCTACAAGAGGATGGTGCTGCCCAACCTGCTGGAGCACGAGACCATGGCCGAGGTGAAGCAGCAGGCCAGCAGCTGGGTGCCCCTGCTCAACAAGAACTGCCACATGGGCACGCAGGTCTTCCTCTGCTCGCTCTTCGCGCCCGTCTGCCTCGACCGGCCCATCTACCCGTGCCGCTGGCTCTGCGAGGCCGTGCGCGACTCGTGCGAGCCCGTCATGCAGTTCTTCGGCTTCTACTGGCCGGAGATGCTCAAGTGCGACAAGTTCCCCGAGGGGGACGTCTGCATCGCCATGACCCCGCCCAATGCCACCGAAGCCTCCAAGCCCCCAGGTAAGGCCCCCTCCGTCCGCGGGACCGCGGGCTGCGGCGAGGCCGGACGGGCTGCCCGCAGCCGCCGCGCGCAGCCTGGGCGAGTCTGCGAAGCGCCTGGAGTCCGAGGTGCGGCTCAGCGCCCGCCCGGCCCGGCCCGGCCTCGCTGCCTCGGCACCGAACAAAGCCTCGGCTCCGACCCGGGCGCAGCGCTGCTCCGCGGGGAGGGCGCTGAGTCCGCGCGGGAGCCTGTCGCGCGCGACGCGGGACCCTCCAGCAGGAAGAAACCGAAGCCCCAAAGTGTAGAGAAGCCCAGAAAGGCCGAGGAGTGTTCGGCTCAGCTTGGTTTATTTTCCTACGTTCGATGAAGACTTCTTAAAAAATTTTTTTTAAAAAACCCTTTTCCTTGGCTAGTCATTGAGCCAAGTAGCCCCAGGACTGCTGCCGAACTGGCTGAGAAAAAGTTTAGAAACGGTGGGGGTTTCAGTTTCTCCCCGCCGGGGCTCCGGAGTGGAAAGTCTCTTCTCACGCCGGCGTCCCCCGCTGCTTCGCTCATTCACACGAACCCTCAGGTGATTAGAAAGATAAAAATGTAATTAGCTCATTGTTCTTCTCCTCCCGGGAGTTCAACTCTGCGAACTGGGGACTTTCCCAGCGGCCTGGGGGACCGGCCCGAGGATCCTCTCTGAACCCCCATCTATTTAAAGGGAAATTCTTGAGTGGGAAGAAAAAAATAATCCCGGAGAGGCAAGAAACAAAAACCGAAAACCCCAGCTGGTGGCCTGACTTGCACAGGAGTGAATTCAACCCAGAATTCGTGGGAAGCAGATTTTGGGCTCACAGGCGGGAGAGGATCTGTGTCGGGAGCCACACCCCAGGTGCGCTTAGCACAGGGGGGCTTCCTGGGGGCCTTTGAGGAGGGGTGGGGAGAACGGCTGCTTGTGCTCTTGGCTGTCCTCAAAGTGTCTTTAACCTCTATTATTGATTCTAAAAAGAGAGGTATGCAGTCACCTGGCTCCCCCAAAGTGAGATTTGGGGGTAAGTGTGGGAAAAGGGACACCCCAAATTTTGAACGCTCTTGCTTATTCTAGGGAGGGAGGAGATGGTCAAAGCGACTGGCGTTGGATGGCATGGCTCCCCGGGCTGGGTGGGAGAGGCAGCGGCAGTGGCGAGGTCTGGGCACCTCTGCTCTTAGGGCTAACTTTGTGAGGACATGCAGCTGTTTCAGAGCAAGAGCTGAGCAGTTACCGAGCAAACAGAGCACTTCGTGCATGTGGGTGTGCACCCACCCCCTGCAGCCCGCAGGCTTCTCCCCTTCCTCAGCCAGCTGGGACGTTAGCCAGCCCTGTTCCGAGAGGCTGTGCCCAGCTCTGCTCGGCTGAGCGCGAGTCCATTCCCGACGGCCACTGATGGTCTCTTTCTAGGACAGTCTGTGGACACGAAGTGGAGATTTTGGGGGAGGAGCTGCGGGACGGTGGCTGCAGTCTGAGGGGAAGATGGGGGACTGGATGGGTTCCTGCTCACCAGGGGAAAGGATCCCCTACTCCAGCCCCACAAGGCAGCGGTGGGTGGGGGCAGCCCCACAATTGCTGTCTTCCTGACACCTCTGCGCCTTGGCTGCTGTTCCACTTGCCTGTGCCCTCCCCAGTCGGGCTTTCTACGATCCTCCTCTCTCTCCGTCCCAGGAGTGCTCAGGTCTCCCCCAGACCCGGCCTTTAGTGCATGAAGAGAGAAAAACAGTGAGCGGGCCATTTAGCAGTGGGACTTGGGACCAGTCCTCCCCGCGGCGATTTGGATCAGGGGCTCTGTTCTGAGAGAGCACACGTTCCTCCCCAGGACTGCAGTCCCTGGCCTGAGGGAGCCCATGTGACTTCCTCCCAGGCCGGGCACTGCGTGTGGAGCTGGGGGGCTGTGTGTGTGTGTGTGTGTGTGTGTGTGTGTGTGTGTGTAGGGGCCAGGTCAGCACAGACCAAACTACTGGTCCTCAGAACTTTGTGGCTCTGGGGGAAGAACTGGTACTTTTGGATGAGAATAAGTACACACGCACTACTCTTTTATGCATTTGTTTTTTATTCTTTAGAATTAAAACTGAATTTTCAAAGCAAAGTTATATTTTTGCATACTTTAGGCTGGTTTCTGACACATTTGTGGGCATATACAGTCTTGGGGTGCTGGTCTTCGGGGGCCATGTGTTATGAAGGGTGAACCTGATAATAAGAAATGTGTCAAAGGCATTTCCCTCCAAAGGCTGGTGCCTGAGCCACAGCAGCTGCTGTTATGGAAGAGGGAACTGTTCTTTTTCTGGGAAAGCTATTTCTAAATCTGCACGTCCATTAGACCTGTAAACTCCCAGGCTGATGAATTGTTGTTCCCCTTTTCTGCCAGGTTTTAGTGATTCACGTTGTGTGAGCGCATTAGTTTTGTTTTGTTGTTGTTTAGCACGTTATGCGTTAAATCGGCCTGGCTGTGTTGGTCACGGGTTGCCGAGGCCACGGTGCCCTCACTTCCCAGGGAGCCTTCCTTAGGGTCCCTTCTTGGTCTCTCAAGGGGCTGGGCAGGGAAGATGGCGTGTGTGTGTGTGTGTGTGTGTGTGTGTGTGTGTGTGAGAGAGAGAGAGAGAGAAAGGGAGGAAGGGCGGGAGGGAGGGAGAGGTTATGTGTGTGCATTGATTTTTAAAAAATTCAGGTAATCCTGATTCCAGAGTTAGTCTCCTTCCTCTACTCCTCCTTAACTGTTATAAGATACAGAACCTTTTAGTTTTTTGTTCATTTGCTTTAAACGTTATTTTAAACACACTTTAGAACAGTGATTTAGTTCTTCTCAGATGGACGGCTGGGTGGATTTCTGGTGCAGAGGCAGCCGCGGGGCCGCAGGACACACCGTGGAGGCGCAGATTAAGGCTGCGTTACACATTCCTCCTCCTCTCCTGGGACCGGGCTGCTCTAGGGCCAGCCATAAGAAAAGTCGAGATGGGGGAAGGCCATGTTGAAAACATCCAGCGCCTGCCCCAATGAGCTCTTCTCACTCTGAGGGGCACCAAGGTCCAAATGTAATTGATGGGACTAAGGACAATGCCCCGTGGGGTGCAGAGCCGAGGCTACCACCAGATCAGGGCAACTCTGAGTGCCTGGAGGGAATGACGGGGCCTTCAAATGCTGATTGCCCAGCCCCAGACCTTGCTTCTTGTTTGGTCAAGATTGTATTTGCAGAACCTTGCAACGTGATAACTTCTGCCTTTTTTTTTCTTTTAATAACTTAAACAAGGGACATCCAAAAGCACAGTTTATTCTCCTGGTGTAGGTGACATAGTCATTTCCATATTGAGGGACTTCCTCTCCCTTTTTTTCACACATGGAAGCAAGAACCATAATGCAAAATTCTGGGTAAGTTTTTTCCTTTGTCAGAAACCCTACTTCCAGAACTCAGTCTCAAGTTTGGAGTGCGAAGCAAATTTCCAACATTTGGACTGAGGACAGTCACGTCACTTTCTTCTTGGAGTGTGGTTCTTGCTGCCCTGAGAATCCGAAAAGTGTTTGGTGCTGGGTGCAGAGGGCAGGTGGGAGAGGCGTCTGTCCGTGAACACCAAGGGTGTGGTCTCTGCTGGGCCCTGTGGGGTCAGCTGTGTCCTGAGGGCAGCGTTGACCTGGGGGCTGTTGCAGCTCCCTCCTCCTCCTCTACCTAGAGGCTTTGCCCATTCCACTGTCTGACCCATCGGGGGCCAGAGGGGTGGACTTGCTGCCGCAGAAGCCACTCCGGAGAGAAGGAAGACACCAGACCCCACCTGGTCTTCCATCGCCCTTGGGGTGACTCTCCTGCGCTCTTGCTTTCCAGCCTGGCTTGGCCTCCTGAGCTGTGTCAGGGATGGGGTGCCCCCAGAATGTGGTCCTGTGGTTGATACACTCCAGCTGTTTGATAGATGAGGAGGGTGACACGATGATGATGGTAAGCCACTCCGGGAGGATCCCGCTGTACCCGGCCCTTTGCCGTGTGATCCTCCAGCGTCAGCAGCATCTTGGCTCTGCCTGGGCCTAGGAGGTCTCCTCCCCTGGGGCGTAGCTGCCTCCCAGGACATGCCCGCCTGCCCGCACACCTGCGCTTCAGAGCGCCTCACAGCCACCGTGAAGGGCCTCCGAAGGGCCTCCCCGTCCAGGTCCAGCCCTGTCCTCCCATTTGGCAGCTCTGGGCAGTGCCCCACCCCCACCGGCTGCTCGGGCAGGAACTCCTGCTGCAGCTGGAGCGGGCGGTCAGGGCCCTGGGGCTGGAGCGTGTGGGTCTGGCTGAGTCTCCTTCTCCTGCTCCTGGGGAGCTGGTCAGATTGGTCAGCTGTCTCGGGAGTTTGGGAGTGGAGGGGCAGGAACCAGAGGGGCGTATTGGAAGAAGAGAGGAGAGAGGACAGGACACACACAACTGGAATGTGTCCTTTTGGGTTTATGAGCCAGTGTTTTCCAGGAACCCACAACACCCACAAGTCATAATTCACAGGACCTGCCCTCACCGGTGTCCGACTGTGCTGGTTTAAATAGTGTCATATTCAACAGCTCTGGCCAGAGTGTTTCAAGAAACCACACGCCTGTTTATGGCGTTAGATCCTGGGCTCAAGGCCCCTACTTTTGATTCTCAGAGCTCCCTTCAGAAATTCCAGAAGCCCTTAACCACCTTCAGCCTGGTGGCAGGGCTGATCGCTTCCCCAGGGGTTGGTCTCCATCCCACAACCGTAACTCGTGGCTTCTGTTTCTCCCTGTTTTCTTCCCAGGCACAACGGTGTGTCCTCCATGTGACAACGAGTTGAAATCTGAGGCCATAATTGAGCATCTCTGTGCCAGCGAGTTTGGTAAGAAGGTGTCCCTGGCGGCCTTGGGGAGGTTTGGCATCTCCTGGTTTCTGTCCCCCGTGAGCGGAGCCTGGCGCGTCCTGTTGGAGCTTTGTGCTCTCTGTCCCCGTCCCCTCCAAGTGGCTGCTGTTCTCAGGCAGGTGGAAGACTAGGCAGGGCGGGGACTGGCCAGTTTTTATGAACGTTAGACTTTGCCTCTGCTCTTCCGTGTGAGGGGTCACTGGACCTTCTCTGGCAGAGGAGGGCAGTGATGGGGATAGGTGGAGGGGCTGGGGGGCAGCAGCTTACAGCCCCCACCTGTTCCAGCTGGGCTGTCTCCAGACGGGCCCTTTTGTATCCACCCCTAGGTGTCAGCACGGCCCTGCCCACAATGTGAGCGGCACACAAACGGGATACATTTCCAGGGAGGGGGGATTTCAACACTTAGGGGATATAGAGGAGGGTTCCCAATTACGTTCTTCCAGGCAAAGAAAATTGACATCCCTACAAGAGTGTGGGTTTTCTCTCTTCTTCCCAAGTCACTCTCTGTGAACAGAGAATTCTGAATCCAATCGGCTCTTGCAGGAGGCCCTTGCGTTTACTTTGCCCAGAGGAGAGACTCCCCAGGTGTTTGGAATTCAGGTCTGTGTGGGCCAGATGATGAGGGACATCCCTGAAAGGTCCCTGGGGTCTGTCTCAGGCCTGGTTTTCAGAAGGACAGGATCAGCCTACCGCTGAGCAATGTGTTTCTCGTAATTCCTGCATGGTGTCCCTGAGATTGGATTTCTTACAGAATCTTACCGGGAAAAGCATAAAGGTAGGTAACGTGAGTCTTCGTGTCCATTCGGAGGCACCCCAGTCCATGTTCTCGTTGACGCAACGTGATAAAGTCCGTGCGAAGGTCATGTGCCGGGTAAGGGCGTGTGCGAGCGAGCTGCACACACGTGTGGGAGCTCACGCGTGTCGGAGGGACTCGGACGTTATGCCAGGTACGTTCCCAGGGTGTTTGTAATTGTGGACGAAGATGGCAGCTGGGTGCAGACGGCTGCCAGGACTGAGCTGGAGCATGTGCGTGTCCTCCGCGCACGTGCGGGGAAGGTCGCTGTGTTCTGGGGACCAGCAGTGTGCAGAGCTTGCCTACACTGACCCGAATGTATCAGTGGTTACTGCCTGTGCGTACAACGTTTTCTGAGCTCTGTGGATGCAGGTTTAGGGTTGAACTCTCGCCCTGAATAAGTTCAATACTTGTGTGTTGTAAAAAAAAGCAAGAGTGAGAGACAGGGAAGTTGGAGAATCCAGGCCCTTTGCCTCTTGCGAGCGGCTGAGTTTTGTGGCTTTTTCAACATTGGGCACCCCTGCCTGCCTCCTCCTCCTCTGAGAAGTTGGCCCCTGCTGTGTTATCAAGTCCAGGGAATCACATTAGAGTAAATTCCGGAAGATAATGCTCTCAGATGGCACCTCTGTGAAAAATTTGGTGTATGGACATTTAGCTGCGTGTGTTGGAGTCACACCCTTTTCCTGTCAGCATTGTAAATGAACTCAAATAAAATCGTAGCAGGCACGTGCAGCGATGTCTGCAGGCTCTGCTCACCCTTCCCTCGAACGGCAGCGACACCTGCTTCTCGATGTTAACACTCTTGTTTCATGGGGGTCGGGGCTGCCACAGGGGGGGCTAAGCCTTTGCGTTCTGCTGTTGTGACGTCTGTGGATACACAGCCCCAAGCGGGTTCTGCAACGAGCTTGTCACCCTCAAATCGGGTGGAGGGTGGACGTTCCTTCCCTACGTGCATTACGGATGCAGAGGGAACAAGGACGAAAATAAAATCTCTGAGAAATGCTGACAAGGAGCCTTTTGCCGCACGACCAGGGCAGGAAGAGCCCACTCAGATGTGGCTGAGACCCCGAAGCAGCTTTGCGGGTAACGAAGAAGCTGCTCTTTGACTTCCTTGATCCTCTGCTGATGCTGTAGATCACAGCGCGCATGTCGAGAAGCACGTCCAGGGAGTCCTGTTAGAGTAAACTCTTAAAGACCGTGGATGGGCTGGTGGTTTGTGTTCAGATGGGCTGATCAGGCTTGGCTCCTGTGGGAAGAGTGGTGGGAGCCCCCAGAGCTGAGTGTGCAGAGGGGCCTGGCAGGTGAGGACTCCTGTGAGGAGCTCAGGATCCGAGTGTGTGATCACGTGTTGGCTCACACATGCGTTCACTCAGCATTCGAGTACACAGTGCCGCGCTAGACGCCGCAGTCCAAAAAAAAAATAAAAAAAACCCTACCTAGAATAAACTGAAATTTAATGAAAAAAATTTTAGTCCTGACCAAACACTGATCAGTGATTTCCTAGAGAATCTGGAACCGTTTTATAGTTCCCACGCTGCAGAAGAGGCTGCGGGAACACGAGGTGGAAGCTGGTGTCGGGAGCTGTGAGAACTGGGTCCGCGTCTTTGCGCTCAGCGTGTTTGTCTGGAACTCACCAACTCGACGTTGTCATGAAGTCGCCTCCCTGCTCTCACAGCTGCCCACCAGAATCCTGGTACCTGGGGGCTCTGTGGCACCAAGTTAAGCCAGAGACATTCCCCAGACGTGGGCTGGAAGAATTCGAATGTGGCAAGGCTGGCCTTGTGGTGCAGCGCAAGGGTCTGGAGGGCCCTCGGGTAACTCACCTGGGACGGGCACCCTTCCCCACTGCAGCGGGTGCCCACCGAGCCGGCCACTAGCCTGCTGCGTACTGGAGGGAGGGGCATGGGGGTCTTACGTTAATAGCCAGTCGGGTTGTGGTGAATCTGAGTGATTAGCTGTTGGGGTTGTGTTCCTCAGCCCTGGGATTATTTTCTGCTTCATAGGTTCGTAGGACTTTTGCATTCCTCCTGGACCCCAGAGGTCACCCCCTCCAGCCCTCTTCTTTGATAAAGAGGGAACCTGGCTTTCCCAACCGGAGTCCTCTTACTCTCTACCCTCTGCCTTCCTCACTTGAGAGACGATGAACCGCCGCTGGGCTGTGCCACGAGGCGCCGCCCTCCCCACTGTGAGTCAGTGTGTGCCAGCCTCCTTTGATCTGGGGGCGGGGGGCCTTATAAAACAATGCATAGGATTTTCTCTCGCTCGCTCTCTGCGGGGGCTGAGCTTAGCCCTGCCCTTCTCAGCACCCTGGAGAATGCAGCCTTGTTGAGAAACTTGTTTCCTAGTTCAGTTCACTTCAAGTGCGCGAGGCGGTCGGCCACGCTGAGGGGATTCGGTTAGGAAACAAAGACGCAACAATGCGAGCTGACACACGGCAGAGAAGAAAAAGAATGCTTGACTCCCTCCTCCAGGGATCAAGCTTTGCATTAAGTGGCCCTGACATCCCCGGTGGGAAGACATCAGGTTACTGGAAGCTCGAGGAACAAGGGGCGCATTCCTCGGGGCCGGCACGCATGCTCTCTTCTGCCTGCGCCACGTGGACTCCTGCAGCTTCCCGGGTCTGGGAGCGGCCAGGCCTTTCCCGGCTGCCGCACAGTGCACGCTCACCTGCCGGCAGGGCTGCTTGGCCGCTGACCTCACCACCCCTGCCTTGGCTCCCCTCAGTTCAGAGCACGTTTCCCCCAAACAGGGAAACATACCAGCGGACAGGCCTGTGTGCTGATGCTCAGGAACGCGCTGGGTCTGCCTGGATCAAGCTGCAGACGCGGCAGCCCTGGGTTAGACGGTGTGACGTGCCCTGTTCGGCATGGCAGCTGGCCGCCTGCCGGGCTTCCGCGGGGTGCCTCTCGTGGCTCTTTGTTCCCGCTCTGCTTTCCTGCTCGATGAAAGCAGGGTGCTGCTCTTGCCTGTTGACCAGGCAGGACAGGGTTGCGAGCTGCCCCGCTGGTGACCTCGCTGTCGGCAGGCCGGGGCCCACAGGGTCTTCCCTTCAGGTTGGTTTCTCCCGGGGCGTGAGGACCTGATCCACAATCGCAGAGATCCCCGCCCCGGCCATCTCCGCCCCGGCTGCCGCCTCCGGCTTCGCCCGTGCGCGTGAGCGCTGTGAGCTTTGCTGGAGCACGTTTGCCTGCTGCGCTGCTGCAGGAAAAGTTCGAGGAAAACTGCATGCCCTGTTTCGGGTGACTGCATATGTGTGCACGTTAAAAAACAAGCCCTAATGTCTGGAAAGAGCGTTCAGTCAGAGTAAAATCCAAGACATGGGGGAGGAACTGGGCGCCGCAGCATCGGGCAAGTCTCTGAACCTCCCGGGCCTCAGTTTCCCGCGGTGCAAGGAGCCTATGAGGTGAGGCCTGCTGCGCAGCTGCGTGTGCTCTTTCCAGGCACGGACGCAGCGCCCGCCATCTGTCCTGGGCAGACGAGGCCGCCTTCGCGGCTTTTGCCAGAGAGATGCGCATGATCTCAGATGCGCTCGTGTCTTCTACTCTGGGCGTATGTATTGAAATCTTTCCTGAACCTGGTTCTCTTCTCGGCGCTTCCCAGCTTTGCCGCGTGCTGGGGTCAGGTGCGGCACCCCAGGTGCAGGATTGACTGACACGTGACTCCTCCCTCGTCATGGTTACGGCCCAGGCGTCCTTTGAAGTGCCCTGCGCCGTACAACTCTGTGCGTGTCTGGCTGTAAGTGTCCCCACCCCATTGTCTGGCCCCCCTTAGCTTTTTCTTGTTTTTATTGTGGTGACATATACGTAACATAATATTGACCATATTGGCCATTTTCGAGCATTCAGTCTCCACCATGAAGTACATTCACACTGTTGTGCAGCTGCCACCGTCATCCGTCTCTGGAGTTTTCATCATCCAAACTGAAACTCCGTCCCCATTAACCGCTCGCTCACCAGGTCCCCCTGCTCCCGCCCCGGCAGCCTCCTCCCCGCTCCATCTCTGTGGATTTGACTCTAGGTTCCTTGTAGAAGTGGCACCGTCCAGTATTGGTCCTTTAGAGTGTGGCGTACGTACCAAGCGCCACGTCCTCGTCGTTGGATATGTGTGTAAACTCGCATGGAGAAGGCAAGTGGAGGACAGGATTTGCCTTTGCCTTTATTTTCTGAGGCTTTTCCAGGGGTAGGTG